TTTTTCCTGCTCTGTAAGTCAGCTGTTTTAAGGTACAGCCTTTGAGACACACACATAAAACCCCACAGATGATCATTTCTAAAGATTTCTTCCCAGTCTAATTGCCAGGTTGTGTTGCTGCAATGTTCCTGCTGCACCAACAGATGACGTTCTTCTCCCAGGTTCTCCATATCTCATCTTGATGCAGTTCAAGATATGGTAAGGTCACCATTGTCAACAAAGAGCAGAAAAACAGAAGAGAGTTGAAACTGGGTGATACCACCCATTAGCTAAAGCTACCACGTCCGTAACATGCCCCTTGCAGTAGGATTTTTATTTTCTTTCACTGAGACAAAGGAGTCACTTTAAACTTCATTAAAAAAAAAAAAATTCTTAGCATGGAGCTCATATCCTCTCCCCAAGCAAGGGATATGTGTGAGTAATGATTCACTGAAGCATCGCAGTCAATGGCCCAGATAGGGAGTAGAGATTTACTGTGGGCTTAAGTCTGTTCTTTAGACATACAACTTCTAGACAGATATATTGTTTTTACTTGGGAGGTGTGTCAGGACCCCAATTTCCTCAAGATGGGAGGGTGTGATGGATGCCAAAGGTGAGCTAGAGAAGGAAGGTGTTTTTGCAGTCTTATTCCTATTTCTGTTTTCCATCAAGTAGTGAAAAGCAGCAGCAGATACTATGGCACAATGGTTTGGTAGACTTCTGGCTACCATCCTTAGACTCTTCTCTAGGTGTCCATAATGCCCAAGCTGCCCCAGAAGCAAGAGTGCTTTTGCTTGTTACTGGTCTGAGTTGGCTGGCTACATGGAATAGTCCACCATCTACTGGTGCTTCACAGACATCATTCTTAAGACAGACTACTAGCTAAGTAATTGGGCAGAGTTGCAAACAGCCCGGTCTGTGCATGTCAACCAACAGTGCAGGAGTGCACTTCCTCTTCTGTTCCTGAGAGCATTTAAGCAGGTAAGCTGCTGCTGCTAAGTGGAATGGAGACCAACTAGAAGATGAGTTGAACTAGAACTTTACATATGACGCACCTCTGCTGATTTTCAGCAGGTAGCAGCAACCCATTTTGTCTGGGATCAGAAGCTAAGCAGGGTTGGACCTGGTGAGTACTTGAAGAACATCAGGGAATCCTAGAGCTGTAGACTAGACTGCCAAATTGGAAAAAAAAGTAGCCAGGAAGAGAGCCATGGCAAAACACCTCTGTACTGTTGCCAAGAAAACAACATGGATAAAGTCACCAGCAGCTCATCTCAGAGCAGCCTTTACTGATACCTGCTAAACTAACCATCTGCCCAGTCCGATCATCACTTATGAGTCAGGTGAGGTCCTGTAATTATCTCAGCCCTCACCTTAAGGCAGTTAAATGAACCCATGCCAAACAGACATACCTAATTTGTGTTGCTACTGCTTGCATACTTTACATGAGCATTAGAATGATGCATTTAATTTTTTTGTAGTGCATACATACAAAATAGGCAGCATTTTCTCACTATGCCTCCAATTTTACCTACATCTAAATATCTTACCTTTCAGAAATCAACTATTTATGGCAGTAACAACCTCCTGTCTCCCACAGGATCTGCCTGGCCGGTCTGATCTGGTAGGGTTGGCATGCTCTGAGTTCCTTGGAGGAAGCAATGCCATCTAGCAGGACCCCGAAAGCATGCCTTCTCTGTAGCAATGCTGGCCTTCCAGAATGAGGTTCCCCCCAAAATCCAGGTGGCTCCTGCTGGTGTCAGGGGGTCTTGAAGACCTGGCTGTTCAATCAGGCCTTTGGTGAGAATAATACTTTTTTTCTTTTTCTTTGTTCTCATTTAAGATTGTCTTCTCTGCCATCTTCGTTTCACTTTTTTTTTTTGAAATAACTTTATTAGATTTTAAGAATAAAAACTAACAAATACAGAAGATAAAGAATGAAAACGAAAGAACAAAGTCAAAAGTGCAAAAAGTACAAAAAAGAATGACTTCCAACTTTCCTCACAGCAGATAAGTATCAATTTACACTAAACTCTTACTCTAAGTTTACAACCTAACTTTCATTTTTTCTATTATCCAGTATTGTTTCTAATCATCAGATCCATACATCATAATTTCATTTTTTCTGTTTCACACACAAAGTCCAAAAAAGGCTTCCAATTAGCATTAAAGCATCTTTAATCAAAGCCATCAGCTTTGCCATCTCAGCCAACTCCAGCAACTTCACCATCCATGCTTCCATGGTAGGTAATGTCAAGTCTTTCCACCTTGTGTTTTGTGTTGCTTCTATGGTTCTTGTGTTTTGTTTTTAGCAATTCATGAAACACCCAAAGTTATGGGAGTCAGAGGTATATAAATTTAATAATTATTATTAACACAGTATCCATCACCTATGAAAAATCAGTGAAGTATCTTCAAATAGTTGCACTGATCTGTACCTGTCAATTTTGATGGGAACCACCTGTGGAACTAGGTCACTGTTATAGGCCTCCATCCTACTGTAGAGTCCTTCAGGGCAATAAATCCAATAACAAAATTAAGAAACCCCCTAAAATGTGTTTTCCAGGAATGGTAGAAAGTCATCCTTACAGTAAAATAACAATGGGAATAATACCATTGAAATAAGAACAGTCCAGAGGTAAACAAAGACAAACAGAACTAAACCAGCAATACCAGATTATGGATAAGAAATCATGGTCCTGGCAATTCAAGTATTTTTCAAATAAATCTGATGATTAGAAGCTGGGCCACAAAGTTGGAAACATAAAACAACCAAGCTAAGAGCAGATGTTTTTCCATGTGGATCAGCTGCAAAGTGAAGGTTTTTAATGCCTTCAGAGCCACAGCTGCAAACTATTAGAGATTATAGGCAAGAAAGGGCTACTCTTGAACATGTCCTTACTCTTGAGTAGACTTTCCTTGCAAACGCTCCAACTAACCACCTCTCAGGGTTTACATCTTGCATATTCATTTCTCAGTCAGGATTTGATGCTCACTCCCCTAATACTGGCAAGGAGACCAACATTATTTTTTTTGACGTTCCTAAGTCATAAGGTCCTCAGATCTTAAGGATAACTCCTCCAAGGGACTCACGACTTTTCACCTCTAACACACCATTGCTACAGGATCAGGTGTTCTTAACACCCATCAATCAGGCTCCAGGTTTGAATCAATTGCTCTTAGGGATTGGTTAACACTGAGTTTTCCTTGATTTTATGCTGCTTTGAAGTAGCTTCTGTTGGCCCATTTCTCCCAAGCACTTTATCCAACCTTGCACAGATGATTATATTTTGCCACTGCAGTCCATCATATGCTATTTAGCCATTGATGGATCTGAATTGCTGCCCAGCCCTTTTTAGGTATAGAGATACCAAGACCTTAAGGAAGAAGAATCATTTCAAAACTAAAAAACTCAGAAGGGAATCTGCATTCCCTCTAGCTCAAAGAGACTAAGATGATTTGCTTATACCACCATCTTGTGGCTGTTAAATTAAAATTCTGAAGAGTTTCTCAAATTCATAGAAATGTTTGGCAAACCCCAACTATCTTATGTCATGGCACCTTAAGCACAAGGTTAAAAAAATTAAGGAGGATGGGTTTGCACATCCCATTGAGCCATGAGTGCTTCAAAAATCTCCTGCAACTGGAGGGGTTCAAACATCATAAACCATGGTTTACAAATCACAGTACATTCAGTCAAAACCAAATAAAGCACATCAGGGATTAGTGTGCCATTTGAATACCCTGTTTGAGCCTGAATGCTGGGCCTGTCCCACCCATCACCTTTGGCTGCCTATCTTCATTCTTCCATTTTCCCCTGAATGTTTTCTGGGTCGTTTTCATAGTTATACTTGATTTTTTAAATGGTCAACATAGGTATAAAGTACAAAAATGCAGCATTTCAACAGTAAATCAATTATCACACCAGTACCAATAAAATTGGTTTATTCTCAAATTGTTATATTTTGTTACCCTTTAATTGTGCTGTACATTAAAAAAACCCAAATGTTAATGTGACTCACTGTGACCTACAAAGCAGATTCAAATAAGATTAATCCATAGTCACAAACATTTTGCCTGTTGTTCTGTTCCTGATTTGGGATGTTTGCATCTTTCTGTTGAAAGCGCCAGATACTGTACTACGAAAGCGGTCTGGAGTCATCAGCGTGTGTAAGAGAGGGGATGGTAGAGACTGATGAAATGTGTACTGCCACATTGCAATGCCAACTCTACTCTTTATGGAATTGTGTGGGGCTTGCATGTGGGCAAGTATGAAAGGGCAGAGCTGGTGTGGTGTGATGGACTGGAATGGAATGGAGGAAGGGGGGGGGGTGAAAACGGTGCTCTCGTCTCCAGAGCAACGCTCTGGAGATAAGCGGAGAAAGCTGGCGCATCCCAAAACATTCCAGAAGATAGTGAATAGCTGTGCCTGGGAACTGGTGGCCAGTCTGAGAAGATTTCTGTAAACAGGCGCTGGCT